AAAAAAAAAAAAACATGAAACTGTCCATGCCTTCCTAAAGATAGCTAGGTTAGAAAACAAAGAAAAATTTACATTAACAGTTCCCGTAATATCTTCAATAGCATAACCAGTCCGCGGCATGCTGATCTTGTCAAGCGCTTAATATAATGCATGTTAACGGTGCGTAAGGATGCAAATAGGCCATCTTACAGTTGTGTGCTTAGTTACCTGGCCTAAGACTACCTTGCAAACTAGTTATCATAAGAACAACTTGATTTACACAACAAAAACAGGTCTTTATCTTTATCTTATCTTTAAGATCAGGTCACTGAGCAGACAACTGAACAGACAACTTTGAAATTGTCTTTTGCTATTAGTTCCCAAGTTTCCCAGAAAACCAAACTGTCGTATCGTTTATTGTTTACACTATTTTCTTGACAGCGTTTTATCAATAGGTTTATATTCATTAGCCTAAGTTATGGCTACCTCAAAGAATTTTAAGGGGCTTGGTGTTCATCCAGTAATTTTGGGATCGGTCTTAGCTTGTCACAATCAGTGGTAGCCTTCCGTGCTGCTTTATCATTCATTGTAAATATTTTTAATGCTTTAGATTTACAGGGTGATGTCTTTGGAGGACTCCCTGGTACTAGGGATGGGGGAGAGACTTTTCCACCCTAGTTTTGAACTTATAACTTGAACTTAAATAAATTTCAGTCGAGCCAGCGTTTTTCCCCCATTTAGAATCGAGTAATAGATTGAGTGTTTGAAAATTGACCAAATTATAAATGTGATTCTTGCCATTATAATGGAAGCTTAGAATAAGCCCTCGTAACAACTGGGAATAAGCTACTATTTTACGATATACCCCCTCCCCCTAGTTCCAGCCCAATACCGATATTACGAATATGGACTTTTAAAAGCTGGCTCTGCCACTTTTCTTGTGTAAGTTTAATCCGAAGTTTCATTTTTGTTCATTTTTTTCCACACATTTTAAACATTTATTTCTCTCTGCTTAAAAATCGTATCTTGGCTGATCTTTCAGGCTTTAAAGAATGGTGACGATCAGGTGCAAGACAGAGAGCGTTTCGTCCACTTGATCCATGGAAGCTACTCGATGTTCGAAAACAAGCAACACAGGGATCGGTTTCTGGGAGGCCTCAAAGACGGATCCTTGGGTGTCATTGACGTTAACGATAAACGCTTCCCAGATCCACGAGTCTTGTTTCTGTTGCACTCACAGCCGCCCAAGCCCAAAGAAGGTTCAACTTAAGGCAGCTATATCACGGTATCTGCTTAGGCACATTTTTGTACTTAACTAGCAAACTAACAGTGCAAGTTACGGCATTAAGAAGGAATCCACCACAAGTTCGAGTAACAAGAGGACAAAAACTTTGTACCGAGGTTATTTACGTTTGATTGCTAACTTCTGTGTTTTAAATGTTTTAAGTATCTTTTCAAAAAATCATTTTTAACAACACTAAATGTCGAAAACAAATGTTGAAGTTCATATGAAAGAATTGAAAGTGCTGATGAAATGAAACCGATGATGGAATTTTACATGTGATTACACAATTTCACTGAACTTCGAAATTGATTTTTCGAGTTCCCATGGGAAATTGTTTTTGGTGTTATTTCAAGCAACTATTTTTATCTTACGTTTTTAGAAAATCCGATAAAGGACTGTAATATATTTATTGCGCGTTTCAATAACATGCGGACTCTAAAATTCAAAGCCTAACCGACAAATGCGTTTTTCGCTACCATCAATCAAATTTTCGGCGGCTCCTCCCAGCTTCCGACTACTGCCGAGCACTGTTTCGTTGTCTGAACTGTGCTCAGCGATTTGATTACCGCGCGCTCGGCAGTAGTCGGAAGCTGGGAGGAGCCGCCGAACACTTGATTGACGGTAGCGAAAAACGCATTTGTCGGTTGAGCTTTAAATTTTAGAGTCCGCATGTTCTTGAAAGACGCAGTAAGGTTATTGTGGTACAAGGCTTTTGAAGTTGCTCAACTAGTAGCTAAAGTAGCTAAATCAAGAACGTAGTCAGTAATTTGTTTATAAAATTGAAAACTGGTAGTGGGTTTGTATTTTGTAGACTAAATCATTTCCGTAGTTTTGCTGATGATAACATTGCACTTTTTTACTACACGTAGCAAAGGAACTGCGCTTGGTTTGATAAAGTTTTTACTTAGACTGGGGTGTTTTAGGAACTAAATTTATCTTATATCTAATCATTGTATTCTTTTAATCTACAAAACTTAAATAAAACTGATAAGCCTTTCGTGGCACGACTGCCTGTTTGATTATTTAAACGCGTGTGTGGGAAAGGGTGTGTCTGTAAATGAATTCCAGGTCCTTCCAGCTCTATAGCTGCTGTAATTGAGCAATTGGCAGATGAAATTAGCGACAATCTTAATTCAAGCATCTAGCAATCAAATCTTGTGTCGATCAAAGTCATCTTATTTTTCCTCGTGACAGGGTTTCGCCGGAAAGCTGAACATAGAGGACCCGTTCTTTTTAAGAGTATGAGAAAACGTTTCCTTTAAGAAAAACTAATCAACGGGGCATGAATTCAAATAGAAAACCGATAACTTCAGAGTCCAAGTATAAAACAACGGGGTCATAATATCTTAGTATGATTTGAGTCTCCACTAGAATCTACCGACGACCAAGCAATGTCATCAATGACTAAAACTGCATGCAAACTATCACTAACTGTTCCTTGGTTTCTTCGTATTTTGTTAGTGTTGAGAGAAAATATTTTCTTCGAGGTAAGAAACATGCAATGATTATGGCGATGAACCTATTACATTATAAGTTACGATATGTAGGCGGAATTACGTTTCTTGCTTGGTTTCTAATTCGTCAAGTGACTCAAAACTAATTAAAACCAATTGAAGGCAACGTTTGAAGTCTTAAAAATCATATTTTGTGAATAGAAAAAAAGAAAGAAGAAAGTTTCAAATATGAAAAACGTGTCTCTCAGAATGCAGTTGCCACGGACATTAAAACTTCCAAGTACAAGGAAATGTCGCAACAAATTTTCATGATAAATGGGAGATAAATTGGTGAAGTATACCAGGCTTGACTTGAACGGTCAAGTTAAGGCGGTTTCCCTGTCCTGCTTGCGTTTAATTAAGTTTAAAACTAAGAAATCAAAGACCACTCTGAATATATACTGTTTGAAATTTTAATTTTAATTTTAATTTCATTTAAGTCTAACGACTATTAATTCACGTCTAGCTAGTGGCTAGAAAAAAATCATTATTTCAAAACGACTCTAGAAAATAAGATGAAAATAAAAAAATAAAATAAAATAAAAACTTGCTGAGCCAAATATGTAGACTCAAAACTGAACAAAGCAAAGGGTATGAAACTTTTGTTGGACCGTCCATGGATGACATGACCCGCTGAATTTGCGAAAGTACCGAGAGTCTTGGGGCCTTCAACGGCTATTTTTTCTTCGATGCGCAACTTGTCATGATCTTACTGATACTGCTGATACTTATTATGATTACTACAAGTTCAAAGGTGTTCACATGCATACCTTAATTGTAGACATGTTTGGATTTACTGGCCCTGGGAATTAAAAATGGTCTCCCTGTTATAGTTAAGACAAAATGTCAGACACACCTACTGGGACGGTCTGATAAGTGCATGACAATCAGGCAATGGAAACAATGGGAAAAGAGAAGTCTTTCGAAATCTACTTATGACTTAAACTTTCGTGGAGGTTTCAACCAAGGTCAGCAAGACGAAACATGACTTTGGTAAGAACAATCGTTAAATAACTAGAGAAACTAGATAAGACATACAACAAAACTAAGTACAAGAAAAGATACTTATGGGTTGGCATTGCTTGTTTGACAGCCATGGATAATTACAAGAAAAACTCAAGACAAACTAAAATTAATACTTTGTTAATCATTTCATTGTTGTAGCTTCACGCCACTTTAAATAGTAATTAGAAAAAGAATATTTATTTTTGAGGGGTGCAGTGATGGCGCGGTTGTGAGAGTGCTCGCTTCCCACCAATGTGGCCTTTGTTCGATTCCGGCCCAGTGCCATATGTGGGTTAAGTTTGTTGTTGGTTCTCGCCTTACTCCGGCCCTACACAAAAACCAACACTCCAAATTCCAATTCGAGCAGAATAGAAGGACCGCATGAAAACCAGCTGCTGAGGTTGATGTGGCTTCCTCTCTAAATATAGTAATTTATTTAGTTTTTCTTGTTCCTGGGATAGGGAGTTTAGTCAAGTAACAGATTTTCTCCGTTAACGTTAAACGACGTCCTCGCCGATTGCCATACGCCTTTCTCCAAAATATTGAACGTTGATATAGGTCCTCTAAAAATAAAGAAGAAGAATGAAATAAAATCAGTGGAGAACTAAGCATTCTCGTTATCCAACAATTGTAATCGAAAGCTACATTTACAATGACGACGCAAATGCTTGGTAATTTCAGGTCGGGGGGACGAGAGGATATTTTAAAAGCTGTCATTACAAAGCTGACATGCTTTAGATGGTTTAATGTTACCATTTAATAAAATAAGTCCTTCTAAGTTCTGAAGTGCTCATCCTCTTAGACTTCCTTATGTTTGCAAAACATTTTGCTTTGAATGAAAACAACCAACAAATGGCGGGGAAAATGGAAGAGGATCGTGGGAGGGCTGGGGTATAGGAGTAAATGGTAAGTGGCACTACCATAATGACTATCAGTTTTTTTTTTTCTTTTGATATCTGCAACTTAAGAGGCTGCCTCTATAAAATCCGACCACTGATTTTCTTCGAAAATTCGATTTTTCTCATAAGCTGGGATTTCGAAGCCCTTACCTAATCAATCACTAAATTGAGTTCCCAATCTTCCCGTGAGTATCTCGGGAATCATGATGATGTGATATCTCGGGAATCATGATGATGTGATACTCACGGGAAGATTGGGAACTAAAACAACCTTTGTAAACACAAAATGGCCTTGGCATTTATCAATCCTTCCTTGGATCCCCGGATCACCTTTTACTGCTCATAGATGTATATGTGCCGAGAGTTGTCTAAAAGAGTGCTTCTACAAACCTTATGAGAGGACTCTACATGATTGAACCGGCTTCGAGGAAAACAATGGTCAGTAATACAAAGTACATCGAAGTATGTGGCCGTCACGATCGACACAGACGAGGAACGTATAAATGTACCTTGTATACAAACCTACCGCTGGAAGAAAAAGCTGGCAGTTTTAATGCTACCTAGGTTTCAAGGATCGCTACAAAGGACCAAAACTTTAATCTTGAAGCCAGGTAAGAGATTTACGTGAATTTATCGGAGCACTTTACGAAGGCGAGTATGTTAGTTACTCACTCGAATATTTTCAAAATTTCCTGAACTTTAAGCGGTCGTTAGTTTTGAAAACCTAGTGGGCAGACAAATCTTACTATTGCTTTAAGTTAGGGGCCATTTATACTTTCTATTCATTTAGTTCAGCAGTTTCAAACAGGTGCCACATTTTTAAAACGTGCCTTCACAGTAGAGCTATTTTCGTGTTTGGTTCAAAACTCGATTTAACGGGTAGAAAATCTTCTTTTAACCGTTGAAGGGGCAACACTGAATTACAATTGCAACATAGCTAAAAAAACTGCTATGATATATCTATATTTGAAAAAAAGAATTGGGACTTTTGAGCGAATATTATTTTTTTAGAGCGCCGGCAATATGTGCTATTTTTCCAGTTTCGGCAGGCATGCAACTTGTGTCGAGCGGACCGAACTTCAATCAACCCTAGAAAAGTTCAGTTAGAATTTTTAATCAAATAAAACTCAATTTAGTGATTGATTAGGTAAGGGCTTCGAAATCCCAGCTTATGGGAAAAATCGAATTTTCGAAGTAAAATCAGTGGTCTGTTTTTACAGAGACGGCCTCTTAAATGGGTGTCGATGGTCGCTTCCCTTTTAGGAAGATATCATAAAATTTTATTGTTCTTCAACGTTTTTCGCAATTGGCATGGTTCATTTCTCATTAGCCTTTACATATGTTAGCCCAATAGCAAGGTTTTCTATTTTCACGGTCCTGGTCACGGTCCTGGTCAGGGTCATGGTCTTCCCCGATTCGTCCTCGTCCACGTCCTCATCCTTGTGGTCGTCATCGTCATCGTCATTGTCATCGTCATCGTCATCGTTATCGTCACTGTCGTCGTTTTCGTCATCGTCATCTTCATTGTTATTGCTTTCGTTATTAGCAGTTTTCTCACCGCTTTGGTGTGCAATATCTCGTGAAGCCTCAAATGAAGTTCTTTGAATGTGAGGCGATCCTCTGGGAAACTCTTCCAACAAAGCGACATCACCCTATACCTAAAAACGTTCGATAAAGTATAAGTATATAGATACATGTAAAGATAGACATTAAAAGAAACAAAAGGCTTGGTAAAAAACACGAAACGTTTCAAACCAATTGGCGCATACTGTAAGATCAGGCTACTTATGAACCTAACGGCAATTGTTTAAATCTTTACTAAGTTGTTAGACCGCAAACAGAAAATCTGCTTAACTTTCATAATAGCTAGGGAATATTTTTATAAGACGATCTGCCAACGACAACTGCACTTAGAATCGATCTCTGATTCTGTATCGCGATATTGTTAGAGGCACTCTTTTTAGGTCAACAGATACACTTAAAGACGTAAAGATATTGTTTTAATGTATTCAAAACTACAGCTTACAGTTCTTCAGAGCACTGGGGAGGTTTTTCCAGTCGCACTCCGCCTTTGAGCTTGGTGTAAAGCTCAACAAGTCCTTTGACTCCTTTGTATGGTAGTTGACCTATATTATACAAGCAATACAATTGTCCCTTTGTTTAGCTCTTCGTACATCAACCTTCTAAAAATGTTTCCTCGGTGATTTTACGACACAGCGTCAGTTAATTCTATCTCAGGGATCCCTGCTCCACTGACGAAATCAAGCGTTTTGTTACGTTAGACTCTCCGCTAGGGACAGACAACGAAAGTTATCAATCAAGTAAAATGCGCCGTAGATAGTGAGGGAAGGCGTCTGAAGAAGATACTGGCGCTCCTGTGCGCGATTTCCGTTATAATGCTGTATGCAACCAAAAACGACACCAATTTTACAGATTCTTAAGTATATATAGCCGTGTGTCCGACCTGCCTTAGAGCACAGACGTTGCTGCCAAACACTCGAAGGCCGCGTTCGAAAGGGCAGATTGACTGTTACCTTTCACTTTGATACAGTGGCATCCCTTGCCCTAAACCTATTAGATTTAATTTACCAGCCCGTTTTTACTCAGTATATTTAACAAAAGAATGGCACGTTATAACAATATGGAGCTTATAACTGTTTTGTTTTTTGTTTATTTTCTTCCTTTGGCCTTGTCGTAAGACTACAATGGGCGACAAAAGTAGTTGAGAAACTTTTAGAAAATGACGCTTTTCGATTTTTAACCACTTATTCTATTTTATTTGCATCTAGCCTTAATTCTCTGATACCCTCGGCCCCCAATTCAATGCTGTGTAGGCGCTGTGGTCTGCGTAGTGTAAGAAACAGACAAATCAACATCTTCTCTGGGGGAGGGGAAAAATGTTTCCAGGACGCTCGAAAATCGAATTTCACTGCCGAGTGTCTCAACAATTTTGTCGCCTGTTGTATGTTTGGGTTCCACATTGTTATAGCTGTTTTTCGTGGAGCTTAAAAATATTCTTACGACAGGGCAAAGAAAAACAATTTATGTTATAGTACCAGTGAAAGTGCACCTGGTCCTAAAGAACTACAGGTAGTCCAGGGCACACAGTTCCTCACTACGGATATACCAAGGTCAATAAAATTAAAACTTTATTTTACTCAGACTTACCAAGGGTTACTATTTCCCAAAGCAGGACACCAAAAGACCACCTGGAATCGTGAAATGAAACCTTGTTTTGATTACATTAAAATTTTTACTGCACGCAGATAATGAGTTACTTGAGTCAGAAAAGCAAAACAAATTGGGGTCACTGACTTTGTTTCAAAGATAAACCGTGTGAAAAACTGCCCTGATTTTGAAAAATCGACAAACGTAATTCAGCATGGTCTACGAGAGTTTATAATTAAAAATATCGAAGGTGAGTCAACGGAGGCAAACGATCTTATAGTCATATTTGGAGAAGTGGGTCTGATGCGTAGATAGTTCCAAATGTTGCCAACGTTTTCATGAAGCTTGACCCTTCAAGAGGCATTTGAAACTGTCGCACAGATAAACGAAGAGCAAAAAAGAACGGAATTGGATGGTGCATTTTGCAAAAACTTCAAACTTCTAATGGATAGATTTTCTTAATTTTTTTCGCTAAACGTAGAAAATCGGTAGAGTTAATGGTCTATAAAAAGAAAAAAAGGGGTCACCGAACGTCCAAGATCGTTAAATCCAAGCAAAGCCATAGAATGGCCATCTGCTCTAAAAGAATCATTGTTCATTTTATTACTTAGCGCGCGCTCGCGATGCATGACACATACGTGCGCAGTAAGGATGCGCAGAAACAATTGGCGCGAACGTCCTTAAATTGAATATTACTCACACGTCAGACTTTGTAGTAAAGCGTCCTCGTAAGGCTTCGGTTGACATCCAGAGCCATGGAATTTTTCCCTTGTTGAGGCAAAATACAGTTGCTGTCAATCTGATCACACCATATCAAATGCATGGTAAGTAATTTTGAAGGTATTTTTTTCGGCCACTGTCGACTCAGAAAACTTGGTCTTACTTAAGAAATCGTGGACACTACGCCAGATAAAATTTTACTGTTGTAGCTGGGTATATTTATGCAATAAATATTTTTTTACTCATTTATTTCTAGTACAGAAGCGATCAGAAGTAATCTAAAAATACGATGTAACAATTAACATGCTGTACATTACATGTTACATTACATTGGGGAGGCGCGGATCGAGCTGTCCGGGTTCGAGCCCTCGCCGGGGACAATGCGTTGTGTTATTGGACAAGACAGTCTACTCTCACATTGCATCTTTCCACCCAGGTGCATAAATGGCTACTGGCGAACTTAATGCTGGGGGTAACCATGCGATGGACTAGTATCCCATCCAGGGCCGGGGGGGGGAGAAGAAATACTCCTATATATTCGCTTCATGCTACAGAAACCAGGATACGCTCCGGTCTGATGGGCTATTTGGATCGTATGCAGACTTTACCCTTTACCTTGCGTCACACGATTACTGTAAAGTATTTTTCTCCTTAATTAAGTTAACCCAAAGCAATTAAAATAGTCAAGATAGTACCCTTACAACAATGGGCCCACTCGTATATCATACTTCAGATCACCTGGCCGAGGGGGGTGGGGGAGGCAACTACCTTACATGGGGTATATAAGTCAGTGTGTGGCCCTAAGGGAATGGAGTTTGAGAAGTTTTGGTCTGACAAAAGAGATAAAAAAAAAAAAGCTACGGAAAATCACAGATTTTAGTCTGAACTAGGCCACAGGTTTCACGGTTGAAGGCACTCTCTCTGATCCAAAATCCCCTCCTGCGCCATCTGGTAGCAACAGACAGGGGATTCTGTGGTTTGATTGTTTATTCGTTTTTCTGTTTCTGTTTTTGTTTGTTTCATTCTCGAGTTACAGTCTTGGCTCCAAAATTGTAACCAATATCAGCGAAAAGCCGAAGGTATCGAGTTAAAAGCATTTAGATTGTACCTCAGTGGTTTTAATGTACTCGCCATCTTTTGAGATATCTCGTGCCATTCCAAAATCTGCTACCTTCGCAATTAGTTTCTTCCCCACAAGAATATTCCGAGCAGCTAGGTCTCGATGAACACACTTCAAAATATAAGAAAAATAATACTTATTACACTAAAAAATTGTGGGTTACCGAGATATTTAAAAAAAGAGGGAGAAAAAAACAAAAAACAAAACAAAACGAAACAAAACAAAACAAAAGAAAAAGACAAAACGCAAGAAAGAGCGTCATTCCTCTCAGAACTGTCAATACATAAATTCTCTCGTACGTTTAAGTCCACTAGTTTCACGAATGCGTAAGGCATAAAGATCCCACAAACTTTTAAATTTTAATTATGCTGCAGTAAATTTCAGACAGTTTAAAATGTTTTACATTTGTTACTTGTTGCCTGATTGACTAATTAACTGTTGGACTGATTGCCTGATTGACTAATTGATTGACTGACTGATTGACTGATTGACTTGTTGTCTGATTGACTAGTTAACTGGTCGACTGATTGCCTGATTGACAGATTGATTGACTGACTGATTGACTGATTGACTGATTGACTGATTGACTGATTGACTGATTGACTGATTGACTGATTGACTGATTGACTGATTGACTGAT